AAAAAGCAACAAGGTAAGTGCCGGCCCCCCCCCCCCCCAGCCCGCCGTCAGGTACAAGCTCTCCCGCCTCTGTGAAGGCAGATCTGCATGTGTGTGCCCCCCCCCCATAAGCTACCAATCCAGAACAGTCCAGTGGCACCTTTAAGACCAAGTTTTATTCAGGTACAAGCTCTCCCTCCTCTGTGAGGGCAGATCTGCACGTCCCCCCCACCCCCAATAGCTGGCAATCCAAAACAGTCCAGTGGAGCCTGAGCGGTGGGTGTTGCCTTCTGACACACTTCCGGTGCTGTCAGGGGCTGTGGCATATGCAAACAAGTTATGCTAATGAGTTGTGCTAATGAGCTCCTGTGCCTCTTTTTCTACGAAATGACCCCTGGTTTCACGGAACGTTCGGCAAGACTGGACCAGAGTCAAATTGTAGGTAGTCAAGGAACAATAACTACCTGAACGTTTTTTTTTGCAGCAGGGATGCCCGAGCGTAGCTCTCCCGTCACCTCCCCATCATTGCCTTCCCGGCTGAAGCAGAAAGGAGTGCCAGAATCCGTTCTTATTTGGAAAAGCAGGATGCCTGTGTAATGTGTCTAAAGTGGCTCCAAGTCACAGCTGTCTGATGGCGATCCTGTCAGGTTTTCAAGGCCAGAGACGTGCAGAGGCGGCTGGCGATAACGGCCCGCCTCTGCCTAGCAACCCTGGACTTCCTTGGAGGCCTCCCAACCAGTGTTCCCTCTAAGCTGAGCTAGTGTGAGCTAGCTCACAGTTTTTTAGCCTCCAGCTCACAGATTTTTATCTAAGCCAGAGGTCATTTCGGGGGTAATGCGGGGGAACACAGTTCTCCCGGGTGAGGTGCAGGGGGGCGGGGCACATGACAAAGCCCCGCCCCCTGCTTCCGGCCGCCCCGCTTCCAGCCCTCATTCAGCCAGGAGGAGGCAGGAGAAGAGGGAGGGTAAGTTGCTTCCTCCCCGACTCTCCCCACCCCCGCCTGCCTGGGGCCAGAGAGGGCCTTGGCGGGGCTTCCTCGCACTCCCGCTGGCCTTGCAGGTCCACCGCCGGGCCCCCGATGTCAGGGGGTGTGGCATATGCTAATGAGTTATGCTAATGAGTTCCACTAGCTCTTTTTCTACGAAATGACCCCTGATCTAAGCTCAGG